GATTGTATCTTCATTCTCATTAGTTTCCATGAATCTTTTTAATTCTTCCTTAATTTCCTGGTTGACCCTTTCATCTTTTAGCAGGATGGTCCTTAACCTCCACGTGTTTGAGGTCCTTCCAAACTTCTTGTTGTGATTTAGTTCTAATTTCAAGGCATTATGGTCTGAGAATATGCAGGGGATGGTCCCAATCTTTTGGTATCGGTTCAGACCTAATTTGTGACCCAGTATGTGGTCTATTCTGGAGAAAGTTCCATGTGCACTTGAGAAGAATGTGTATTCATTTGAGTTTGGATGTAAAGTTCTGTAGATATCTGTGAAATCCATCTGGTCCAGTGTATCATTTAAAGCTTTCGTTTCTTTGGAGATGTTGTGTTTAGAATACCTATCGAGTGTAGAAAGCACTAGATTGAAGTCACCAAGTATAAGTGTATTATTATCTAAATATGCCTTAACTTTGGTTATTAATTGTTAGATACAATAAAATTGCCTGATTTTAATTCTACAATTCAATTATGAGTCAACCATGTCTTAGATGATGCTATAACGTCTCCTGCTAAATAAACTGAAATAGCTGGGTTTTCCCTAAGAGTATTGTCTTAAGGTTTTAAGAGTATTACACAAAGTCTTTGGCAATATAAGAAGGAACTTGGTAATTAAAAAAAAAACTTGATTTCAGCCAAAGATGGATGAGGCTTGAAATACAAATGGGAGGCATGGGCTTGCTTTGCATAGCACAAGACTTTACCAATACAGAAAGTATAACTGGTTGCTATACCCACATGCAAGCCAATGGTGTTAGTGAGCAAAGATTTCTTGCTTTTGGATATAGATGGGAGAAAAATTGGGATGTTGTCACATTGTCTGCACACTTCACCAACTAGAACCAGCTGCCTGTCCTACACAGGACCAGGTCTCCAACAATGGCTACATGGTTATGGAAGAAACATTTCTCTGCATTTGGACTGCCAACCAAAATTCACTGAGTAGTGGCTACTATTGAAGATGCTTTGGTTGGCAAGAATTTTTTTAAAGTCTATTAATAATAGTTGCCATTTATTGAGTACCTACTCTATGGCCAAATAAGCATTTTGATAAGTTAACTTTCTATTCTTCACCACTTTGTGATGTATACTTTGTCCTCTTTTTAAAAAAGATTTATTTATTTATTTGAGAGAGAGAGAGAGAGTGGGGAGGGGAGAAATGGAGAGAAAATTGCAAGCAAACTTTCCCCACTGAGGGCAGAGCCAAAGTGGGGCTTAATCCCATGACCCTGAGATCATGACTTGAGCCAAAATCAAGTGGCTTAACTGACTTAGCCACCCAGGTGCCCCTATTTTTGTCCTCTTATAATTGAACTTAATGCTTAGAGAGAAGTGAAATGTAGTTCTAGCTCTGAAACCACTGAAGCCTCAACTCCTTATCCCATATGAGCCTAAGGGGGATCCATCATTTAATGAATTTAAGTGAATTGACAGCACATGATTGAGTCTTGCTGAAGCAAGAGAACGAGGTAGTGGGAGCCAGGATGGAGCACTTTGGGTACTGGATTATGATTCTACTAGGTATGATGATTTTACTCTTGTTATTTTATTTTTGGTGGGAAATCCTGCTGCTCAGAGACTTCTTCTATGGGGGAGGAAGTAGGTGGTATGAAGATTTAGGAAGCTGATAAAATATGGAGCTAGATTGAAATGGAAGCTATTGGAAATACACAGCTTGGTCCCCCACAGCATTTTGCAGCCAACTTAAATGGAACTAGCACCAATGCAATGTTAGAATGCGATGACAGGAGGTACATGAAGGGTGCTGAGCGATGTTGCAGAATGTGGGCCATGTTGGTGAGCCCAAAACGATTGCCCTTTCAGGGCAGAAAGAAGAAAAAATGGGGTAAACCTATCACAGTGTGCCACAGTGTATACCCCAGCCAATAAGTAATTAAGGGAAAGCCACTGGACCACTGTCCATATGTTGGCAGGCAAAGTAAAGACTCTTCTGGGCAGAGCTCATTCCTTTACCCACTAGATACTTAGAGGCTCAAGAGCCAAACTTGTTCTTGGCCTGGCTCCTGTAGCTGCAGGTGCCAGCTCAGTTGCAAACAAGTACCGTGACAATGACGAGGAACAACAAGATTGGAAACTATTCATTATATGGCGATGGAGGAGGGGGCAGAAGGCTCCTTCGATTGTGATGCCAAAATGGCAAAGGAAATGTTGGTGGTAAACCCGAGGACCTGAGGAAGACTGAAATGGGTACATGGCATCTTACAAATCATTAAACCTGTGACCATGTGCTGAGCCTCACCTTTACCATAAGAGGAATAATGATTTCTGGAAGGTTAGAGAGAATGCAATGGCCCAGCACAACCAACACTGTGCCCTGCATAGTATAGCTATTAGTGCAGGTGACATCAAGGATTGGGCTTCTTTAATAACCTATAAAATGCTATTGTTGAGATACCATTTAAAGGACGGCCTAAAGTAGGTGTTTATAACCCTCAAACTTATACAAATAATGAGTTAGGAAAGATCACAGGAGCGTACCATGGAGCTAAATAAAAAAAAGGTTTCATTGTTCCTGGAATGCCTTTGCTACTCTTATGAACAGGAATAAAAGGCAAATGTTCTAGATTATAGATATTTATCCTGATACCATAGGCTAGCTCTGATCTTGATACACATGCCTGTGTCTTTGGTAAACACATGAGTCTAAGTAGAATCTATGTAATCTATGTAATTCTGCCATTTTTTTTTCAGGTTCATCTCTGTTTATTGTTTTCAAAACAAAACTAAAAATCACCACTCAAAATGTTTGAGAAGAGTGCTCAGCTCCATCACAGTTAAAAGCTTTATGTTATTTGCAGCCAGAGCATCGAGGACTGGTGGTCACCAACGGGAACTTCCGGCGTGGCCCAGACAGGGCCTGGGGCCTGGGACGGCCGCTCCCGCCCCGGGAGCCCCAGCTCGGTCCTCTGCAAGCGCCATCCAGGGGCACCCACAGCGGACAAGGACAGCTCAGCACCCACCGGGCTTGCCAGTTGCCCATCCGGCACCTCCCTCCCCCTCCAGAGGTCCCAAAACGTCCACAAACAAAGGCGTCAGGCAGGTGGAAGCCCAGGTGCTAGTGCTGTCAGGCTGAAGGCCAAACCGCAGCTGGGCCGCCTGCATGTTCTAGAAGGGGGAGCTCCCGGCTCCGGGCTCAGAGGCGGAGGAAGAGATCTGGTGCCATCATCGCTCGTGCTTAATGTTGGCTTCGCTTTGCTCCAAGGTGACCCCGTTGCCATTTCGAGGGCCTTCCTTCTTGCTCCAATCCCTTTCAGTGTAAAACTCAGCTAGCACGGGGCAGTGCTCAGAGGCCACTCCACCCCAGGACCAGTTATCTGGAATCCAGGGGTTCGTGAGGCCTTCTCTCACGACAGCCCAGTGACCTGTGAATTCAATTCCACGGAATTGAAAAATTCATGAAGGTAGCTTCTTGCATGAACCTCTTAAGACTGTCTCCCAATGTGGGAGATAAAAAATTGTATTGTTCAGGATTTGGTAATATGGGCCTGCATACTAATGAGCATTTATATCATTTTGAAATTAGATGGGCTGGTGTTGGTAAGATTGATGGTAACATATGAAATTCAGATAGTATTTGTCCGAGAGAGTTTGAAGACTCTAAATGACGAATGAACAAGATTGGACAAGACTGTCTTTTCCACAGTTGGGTCCTATGAAAGAAATGCCCTGAAAGCAGATTATGACACACACACTTCTGCTTCAGGTAAAAAATAAAATAATTTACCAAGCACAACACACCCAATATCAGAAAAGAATCATTGCTGAGGGCAGTGATGGACTGATAACACTAGGGATAAAGATCTTCCTGAAGGGAAATAGTTTGGTAATCCCTGCTCTCTACTTGAATGCTAGGGGAGTAACTGTATCACTTAAGTGATTAAAAAGTTTTTTGAATTATGTCACACAACCACTTAAACATGAACAGGATTTAAACTACCATTTGCTAATGTCTGCTCAAAGAGTTTAGAAAGAAAATGTGGAAAAACAGTGGGGCTAATCATTTGTGCCTCTTGCAGGGTTTCAGGACACGAGCCTTATTCTGTAGTATGGCACTGCAGGAACATCACACATACACACACACACACACACACACACACCCCATATTTTAAAGCACGGCTATTCAGTTTTACCTACTGTAAAATTAAACATTGTTTCTTGTTATGAATTTTATTCTCATGTGACACCATAGGCTGATGAGCCAACTGATGCCCACGGGGAAGAACTCATAAGCAATGATATCTGAGTTCCCTGCTTCCCTGGTGAGGCCTCAGAAGTGCCTGAAGAAAGAGTGGGAAGTCCTACTACCCAAAGTGAAATTAAATGAGGGAGGAACTTCTTGATACAAGGTGAATGGTCATTGGCGGTGGAAGTGGGCTGGGGTATGATATCCAGCTGGCATCCTATCTCCTTGCCATGACCTCTGAAATGTCATGATGGAGGTATCGTGGAGTCCATTGTTTTTCTTATCGGAAATTTTTATCAAGATCACTGAAGATTCACACGCAGTTGTAAGAACTAATGTAGAGAGATTCTGTGCACCCTTTACCCCACCCCGCCAATGGTAACAGAGTCTGTTTGTTGCTTCTTACTTCATGGAATGTATATCCCTAGGAAATAGGACAAGAATACTGTAGTTAAAACATGAAAGTGTATGTATAATGGGGCCAAACTGCCAATTTCCTTTTCACTCCAAGGTGGGTTGTTTGGGAGAACATGGAGAACTTACAAGTGCTGTTCCCTGTAAAAACTGTGACTCTGAGCTATTCCATGTAACACCAGATGGAGTCCCTGGTCTGAGTTACTTAGTGGCAGAATTCACATGACATTTTCTGCACTGCTTACAAGGCTGGGCATTTCCCTGTGAGCTAGGCAAAATGGCTAGTGTCAAGGGGGTGGGCAGGAAGGAAGGTAACAGAAGACAGAAGTACCAGCTCGTTGATGTTTGTCATTTTTATTTGCAATACTTTAGGTCCAAGTTTCAAACTGCAATATTTTTACACTCAAGACACAGTCATGCACAATCCATAATTCAATTTTCTATTGCTTCAACCACAATTTAAAATAACAATATTGGAAACAAAAGTTTAAAAAAAATCAGAAGCTGAGGTCAGAAGGATGGAACCATACCATCAGCAGGTCTACGAAAGAAATAACTTACTGAAAAAACTCAAACAAACAAAAAGACCATAAATACCTTTAATCCAAAGTTACAGAAGAATTTCACTACACATGGGTTTTACAGGAAACACATTTTAACAAAAGTGATGCACAACCAAATGAGATACAATTCTGATAAAAAATGAAAATATAGATCCTCCTCAACTTGTTTTGTCTGGATATCATGAGTACAATCCCAGTAGATGTCAGCACCTTGTGATCTGACTCCTCCTGGCTGATGTACTGAGACTTAAAACTCAACCCACTAATGGTTATAGGATTCTGTGAAAGGTCTTATCACTAATGAATATAATATATGCGGGTCCATAAAGCACACCACACACAAGCACACATACTCAACTTGAATTTCACACTCAGGGCTAGTTGGCACTCTGTTAAAAGGCAGGGCATCGGGACTAAGTGACTTCCAGTTTACACCCTCTTTCCAGCAGTCTACTCATAAACTGGCCGCTCACTGTGGGAGTTGTCATCAGAAATGCTATCTTTGGTTCCCAACAAGTGGATGTGTCAACATTCCTTGATGCTAATAGCACATACTTACTTTTTCACTTCTTTGTCTGCAACCTACAAGGGCTTATGTCTGCTCTTACTAGTCCTAGCCATTGAAATGCATGGGTTCTGCCATCTTGTGCCATTTACAAAGTAAAGTCTATAAACCCAACATCACTTTGTAGGAAAGGAAAGGCCCAAACATCGTTCTGTTCTAGCAAGTGTGACAGTGTATTTCTGTTCTAGTAGCAAATATTGGCCACAGCTTAATGAAAACCAGACTTCACATACAGAGCATATGGAAAATAAAAACTGGGAACACATCACAGAAAAAGGACATTAAAACAACAATGAAACAAAACGCGAGGATTGGGAAGGCTGCCATAAGTTTTATCAACATTCCCTAGTGTTATTTTCATTTACTTAAGGTTTTTTTCTTCCCCCATCATCTTACATATTTCTACAGTTTAACGGCAACATAAGAAACCCAGGCTTAAGCATGCAATATTTGCCATCAATCACTTTAGCAGGTTGAATTTGCAAGGCAACCTATAGTACCACAGAATGATAGAACTTTTGGAAAGACCTTGGAGGTCATCTGGTCCAATAGCCTTATTTTACAGATGAAGGAACAGCCATGAGAAGGTTAAGTGGCTTGCCCAAGGCCACAAACGAAGTGAGAAACAGAGCCTATGTTAGAATCCAGGTCTCCTTACTCCTAGGCTGGTCCTCCTTCCACCACGTCTGCTTGCTTCTTTATAACTCCTGCTGACTTCCTCTTAGGTACTAAATCAGGTGAACACAATACTTCCCTCAACTGCTGGTAGGTATTATGGGGCAGCATTCACCTGACAGCAGCTTCCAAAGGAGACTCTGACAGCCTCAACCTGTTTCTATCAGTTTATCCTACAAGTATGACTGTATTACGTGGCAGTAAATGCTATTTGTACGGTAGTATTCTTGCACATAGACGTGTGCACGTGGAGGTGACAGCTCCGTTCCCGCATTTGCAGATTCAGTTAGAGATTGTTTAATAATAAACAGACATTCTCAATGCATGAGGAGTTGGGTGATATTCATTTGGCCACTACAGGAGTGTGGGATCAGGAAAGGAGTGACAAAATTAAAGCTAACCAACAGAAAGATGATATCAGAAGCAAATCTCTTATGAAAAATTCTTTCTTAGGGAAAAATATTTCCACTGTTTCCAAGGTACCATTTATTTCCTTCCCAAGCCACATGCAAATATGTTCAGAATTGTGTGTTAAGTTCACTCGAAATCCCCGGCCTATTAGACCATCAATTTACAAATGCTGAGTTGTGGTCCTCTTGCTCAGAGGCTGGGAGAAGCTTGTGTCACTGGCCATGCCTGTGTTTAACTGAATATTAACTGCGAGTAGCGCAGAGAAGGACCATGAGATTTGACCGGGGATGGCAGGGATAAAACTCTCATTAAGTATTATTTTCACATTGAGAATGGCAATGAAAAGTGGGTTCTCTCAGTATAAGGTCTGCTCTTGGGGAAACTGAGTCACATCTGAGCCCACTGCATTATAAAACTCATCATCTAAAATTTCTTTGGTGGTTAGAGGAAAATTTTTCTCTCTTGGTACTCCCCCTTTGCCCTTTAAAAATGACAGTAGTTACTGCAATCAACCTATCATCAGGCAGCACAGAATGCACATGGAGGCCATCTCCAGCCAAAGCGAATAGGAGCTAAAGACCAATAGGCAAAGGCAGTTCTAAATATTTGTCTTTATGTTTTCATAGTCGGCTTTTAATCGCAAGTCCTAACTTCTACTGAAATAAAAGGGACTTGTCTACTCATCACTAAAAGGAGAATTGTATCTGAATGATATAACATCTGGTGGAACAAGGACACAGTGGAAGTTGGGGGGAGTCCTCCTTCTGTTCTTCTAAAACTCAACCTGAAAATTTGCTAAAATGAGCCAGAAAGGTGATACCTGAACATCACCCCATCCAATCTAAAGTGACCAAAACATAAACCTCTGCACCATGTCAAAGCAGAGGGCAGCCAATTTTAAAGCAGAAGGATGTGTCTGGAGATCTAATAGTGACATCTCCCTAGCTTCCACTTAGAGATAATAGTCTGCTAAGAAAGCATGTGCCATACCCGAGCGTGTGCCAACCTCAGCACCCAGGCAAATATAAAGCCTATGGAATAATTGTAACTAGCAAATATCTGTGCCCTGCATGCTCTGGGCTCTGGTCAGAAGACATCTGCTTCTGGCGTCTTTTCTATGTTTCTACAGTCCCCTTTCCAATGTTTATTTATTATAAAGCAATATTATAACAGTATCAAAGAAAATTTTTAAAGGAAATTTTTTTTGCATAATCCCACCACTGTAACACAACTGATTTCAACAATCAGTGTTCCCAGTCTTTGTCCATTATGCACACTTATTTTTCCATAGTTGTAATCTCTCTTTGTGTTATTTAAAAGTGATTTGATAGATTCTCTCTGAGAACTGGCAGCCTCACTAGAAATAAACACGCCACTGCGCAAAGGAATATAGTTATTTACACGATCTTTGAGTGGAGAAATATCCTTTATAGACAAACATCTCAAACTATCAAAACAGTTATACAGACGACAGGAAGCAATTTCATATTTCTTTTTCTTTTAGCAATGGAATGTGCTTCACAGGGGAGGGATGGATGTGTGGGATTAGGTGGTTAAACTCAACATCGGGGTGCAATTCACAAGCCTGAAGAAATCTGAGTAACACAATTAAAGAATAAATACTTGAGTTAAATCTTCTTACATGACTTGGCCATCCAGTAGCCAAAACAGAACATGGACACACAAATATTTACAATGACACGTAGACGAGATCAGCAAGAACGAAGTCATTACCCAACATGGTGACTGATTTGGGGGGATTGTGTCATCCAAAAATCCTCATGGGATTATGACAACGCACCGGATCCTTGCTACAACATTAATGTTTTCTTCTCTCTTAAATAAATAATCTCTACTGTGCTTCTTACCCTTCCCTGACTTTCCCTCTGCCCCATCCCTATTTCAGGACATTTTGCCATCAACACTCCACAACGTGCCTTCATTATTTCTGGGCACACTAACAATTTTAAGGATCTGGATAGATTCATCTGTGTCAAGATGAGCTTTAAAAAAATCCAGAGAAAGGGAATAAACGACCACCTGGAGTCCAAGTTGTTCAAGTGTACCCAATGTGAATCCTTCAGCATCATTTTGGCAGGAGAAACAGCTTCTTGCTAATACTTATTAGAAATATACATAACTCTCCAACGTGGGGGAGGGGTTTTAGAAGCTATTCTCATTTTAAAATGTACATAGATATAAATTTGTAAGAGTAAAGCCTACTGCACTATATTACCATAAAATCTTGGTACAATGTGGGTGCGGGGAAGAAGTACCTGGCTCCTCATTGGTAATATGCAGAACCGAAAGCATAAAAGAGCAACCATTTTTCTGTCTACAGTGATCTCAGGATCACTGCTCCAGGTCTCTCCCCACCCAAAAGGCCTTTAAGACATATAAGAGACGCTAATCAACAACTAGGGCTTCCCAACCAGCTTTGTGATTCTCTCCACTGGCAGGGGCATAGTTAGTGTACTGAATTCTACTCACACCCCAGGTATTATTTCATTGAATTCCCTGGCACTATGAATGAAACATTAAAAAAAGAACATTTAACTTTAAGTGTTCTCTCTCTCTCTCTCTCTCTCTCTCTCTCTCTCTCTCTCTCATTAGAACAGTGTGGCTTTCAAAATTTCAGGCCCAACCACCTTTTTGCCAAGTATAACACAGCATGCTTCAAATGAATGTAACCATTTGATCTTCTTTTTGCATGTGTTGTTTTATCTCACTGTGGGTATTTTCTAGGGGGTCAAGCCCTCCCAAAGTTTTATTTCTATAGTCAAAGAAAACAATAGGAAAATAGGAAATCCACCAGTGGTGCCATTTCCTAAACATAAACACATGCACTATATGGTTAGCAGAAACTCTCTAAAGAAAGTGCTTGCCTTTTAAGGAACAGATGGATGGTTAAATGGACAGATGTACCTTGGCAGAGAAGAGAGGCTCGGGCCACCGATCTCTTTCTCCTTCTTGCTGAATGTAGGTATGTAACATATTGAGAATCTGAATAGAACCTATCAAGAAGCCTTCTATCGAACAGATTGTTTCTCAAAGGCATGGAGAAACCACTTTACAGAGTTTATGAAACTGACAATACATTTGAAAGAGAAGCATACCCATTTTTTCTACACAGACACCCTCCAGATATTTTTCTACTCTAGAAGATTCAGGAAGTGCCAACTGTTGAATTGTTAAGAAGTAGCTACATGATTGGGCTGATACTTCTTGGGATATGATCACAAACCCTAATTATTTTTATTTATTTTTTTCCTAATTATTTTTCACTGGAAAATTTCCAGATCTTTCTGAATGCAGTTTTGGAATTCAAAAGCTGAAAGGACAAAGTCTGACCATACTATATCCTGCAACAGAAATTGATGAGACAGAGGGAAAATGGGAACAAGTACTTAGAGCCAAATGTTGATTGGGATGTAGTTGTCATGGATCCCTTGTTTCTGACAGGTTTGGATGCTTAGAAATATCTCTGTTCCCCAGTTCTTTTAAGAAATTTAAAAAATGTTATAACTTGTCATATGATTCTGATCGTAAGCAAATTTTGGCTAAGGGGTCTGTTTCCTCCAAAGGTGCCTATTTCACAAGCAAAAGAGAGGATTAAGTTAGGTCTCCTGATCTTTGTTTCCTTCTGTCCACCAAAGATCTGTGTCACACACTCATCTTGCTTCCCTTTTGGCTCTCAGAGAAAGTCCCATCTTTGTCTAAGAATGGTTTCTCCCGTTGGGATTTCCTAGGTTGAGGACCTGGACCCACCCAATGGGAGTACCACCACTTTCAATGTGTCCTTTGTCAGGCGCCATGAAGATGAATGAGCCAGTTTCTAGAAATGATACATCAACTACCTCTGAAGCATCGTTGTGAAAATGTGACAGGATTTCACCATTTGAGCTTTATTTAGATAGACGGTTTTGAAAAGCCCTTCCTGAACACACATATTCCTCTCTGCTTTTGGAAAAATGCCTTAAAAGAAACCTTTTCCAATACAAATGCAGAAAAAAAAGGCACACAAACCAAGCCACCACTATAGAAGAAGAATAAAAAATTGCAACTCTATTAGGGCATGGACTTCCACATGTTCGCACAGTACTTGCTCTGGGGTAATTTTTGTTTCGTTTTGTTTTTGTGTTTTTTGTGTGTGGTTTTTTGTGTTTTACTTTCTTTTTTTTTTCTTTTTAAAAAAAATTTTTCGACATCTTTTTTTTTCCCCCTGGACATCTAATGACAATGCAAGTGAAAAACATCACATTGGGCAAGGAGTTTTGAAGGAGGTTCGAATGCAAGAGGGACTATTCTCTAACTTAAAAACGAACACGACACTATGAAGAGGGAGTGTGCATCTTTGAGAAACCTCTTTTTCTTCAAAGTGAATGCACAAAATGAGGGGATTCACTACTGGCTCTTTCGCTTCACGGTAGAAGTGACCACTTTCTGGCCACGTCGACATTGCTGCCCTGGTCGGGCTGCGATTCGGGCTTACAAATAAATTACATAATCTGAGGGAGTAGGAAAAAGGCTTATAAGAAGTTTCTATTCATTTGAAAGTTAAAGATCCCCACCCCCTTTGACTGTATTTTCTTCCATGTTTCCTGCAGCAGAGTATCAGTTCAGTCTTACTCAGGAGGGAGATGCTGTGGGGTAAGGCTCGCAGTCCTAGCGGCTGCTGTTCTTAATCGCTTCCTTTGCAGCAATAATCAGAGGAGTCAGGCTGGAGAGAGGCTTGGCTAATTTTAAAAACGGATGCTGCAAAAGGAGGGGGAAAAAGAAGAGGAATTACTGGAATCCTTTCCTCCAACAGGTATATCACCTTACATTCTCAAGCAGCCCTTTTTCATTCAAATGTGTACCTTGAGCAGCCAATTAAACACAACTTGATTAAAAATGGTGCCAACTTTTGGCCTTCAGATGTCCTTGTCATTCGGTGTCATGAAATCCTCTGGCCGCTGACTGGCAGAGCCAGGAACTCAGAGTAGGGGTCACTATGTTTGTAAACAGTCTCATTTTCTGATTTTCTCAAACAAATGCATTTATCTGGAGCAGCTCTTGTGCTTGAAAACGTGTCTTTGGTGGCCTCTGACCCTGAAGCCAATGGTTTCTCAACTGCTAAACCCGGTAGCTGCACCTCCACCATTTCTCTTTTGGCTCCTCTGCAGTACTTAATGTAAATGGATATCCCTTCCTTTTCTGAAATGTTTTCCTCATTGGGGGCCTGTAATATTCTCCCATCCTGGTTCTTTTCCACATGTATGCTCACCGACTCCTCCCCTTCTATCTTCTTCCCTGCTTCCCTTTCCTCTTCCCACCTCCCAGATCCCAGCACTCAGTACTCATTATGTTCTTTTTCTAACTTAATTCCTCTGAGAGCTCACTTTCTTTCATGGTTTGGACCTTTCATCAGCTTTATGGGGATGACTCCCAAACCAATATGGTGTGACCTGATCTCTTCCCTGAAGTCTGCTCCTATTTCTCCAATTGCCTGCTGGGTATTTCCTTCTGAATGTCCTTCTGTCCTCTTGAGTCCAACATTTAAAGAGCTATGTTAAAAAGTCTCCCAAATAGGGTACTCTTGTGTGATGTAAGCTGCAGATGCTTTGGAATCTGTGCACCTACGTTCAAGTCTCTCCTCTGCTTATTATAATGGTTAGGTGAGGTAAATAAGTGACAGTTCCTTGTAAACTACACAGAGGCAAAGAAATGTTAACCAGTGTATTATCCTTCATCATTTCTGCTTTTCCTACATGCTGCCATTGGTTTGATATTCTGAAATTACTTTTGTCTTCTTCTCTCTTATATTCTACATGTAAGCAGCTACCAAGTCCTTTCTTCTCAATGCCTTCTACCATTATCTCTTGCCTTCCCTGCTTCAGGGCTAATCACCAAACCCTCAACTATAACCATAAATTCTCCCTGATGTTCCTGCTCCCATTTTTTCCTGTTGCTAATTCTTATTGCATACCACCAGATTCACCTTCCTAAGCAAAACTATCACCATGTGTTGCTCAGATATGGTCAGGGTTTCACCACTGGCTATAGCCCCAATTCTATAGCCTGGTGTTCAAGGCCCTCTATGGCCCTATCTCTTACAGCCTCTTGACTGGATGTGTTTACTTCGGCTGTCTGCTTTATTTTCTGTTCACTTAAACTTTGCCTTCATGGCTTTGCTCACACTATAATCCTTCCATCTGAAATCCCTTCCCCTGTTTACCTCAACCAGTTAAACCTGCTCTGTCCTTCAAGACTCAGAACAACTCTTTCCCATTTGCAGATAGGTTCTGATCACCACAACCCATAGGAACATTTCTCTAATCAACCATGGCATTTATTGTTTGAATAGCCACTTGGTTTGAATGAGTCTTTAAAACACCCTGTGGTTATTTTTGCCACATACCCAAGGACATTATAAACTTTTGGAGAGTAGGAATCATGCCTCTAAGGTCTGTATCACCCACTGTAGTGAGCCTTGCAAATAGAAGTTGCTCAAAAATATATCAATCGATGGACAGAGACTTGACTTGGGCCATACAGAAATACACATAAATACTGAAGACCTGTGTCTTTTCTCAAGCCTTCTGGGTGTGTGTGTGTGTGTGTGTGTGTGTAGGGGGGTGAATGTCATGCATCCCTCTCTTTTCTAGCCCCTGATATGGGCAGTTATAGGCTAGAGTCAGAGAATAGCATTATATGGACTTCAGGCAATATGCAGGATATTGGTAATGTGTAAAATGAAAAGAGGCAACAAATAAATGATTCAATTTAGACTCCAAATATAGTTTTGCGTTACTTATCTGACTGCTTTAGATCAAAGAACTGTCGGGGAAGGAAGTAACTAGGTAGCTGAGTTAATGATCTACCTAGCTGTATAGCTACATTGAGAACCTGTCTCATCACTTATCCTTGGAATGAGTATCAGGATGTGTACGTGGGTGGTGGGAGGGGGTGAAGAGATGTGGGAGCGAGGCACTCCAAAGTTCAGGTTTTTCATCTGTAATTTGAAACTGGGTTAAATAGAGGATTACCAAAGAACCATTGCAGATTTGAAATTCTAAACCCTAGGGAAGCCTGTGAAATGCTCACAGCAGAAAAGGGAGGTGTAGCCTCTTTGATTCCTGGAAATCAGTTTATCCCAGGTGTGATTTGGGTTGGGGTGGGGTATTTTGACTAGGGTGTAGCTCTCCATCTCTGGAGGGGGGTTCAGGAGCAATAGGAATTATTTTCTTTCTTTCTTTTTTGCCTGGAGCAGACTGAGTCTGTGGGTACCACACTAGATAACCAAATGTTGCACCTTTTGTTTAACTGGATTAAGTGTTCAAAGTCACTTTTCTTAGATGTTACAGGGCTTGATACACGTCCCGGAGGAACAGTCCTCAGCACTGAAGTTGTATGTGTAGTCCCAGGCATGTGTTACTTTATCAATAGAAGTATATATTTTTGTCTCTAAATCCGTTTGTATGTTTGTGTGGGGGAGAGTCAGACAATCTAGGGCTCAGATCTCAGTTCTGTCACTCGATGGCTGTGTAAAACACAATTTCTTCATCTGTAACAGGAGATAATCACACCTACCCTATAGAGTTGTTTAAAGAATTCAATGAGATAATGTGTGTAAAGAATGTGGTCCACCATTGGTACTAATGATCATCAGATAGACTAATCCCTGAGAGCCATGAAAAGGACAAATGGTTACAGAGGCACTCACCACTGGATGGTACTCACCCAGGCAAGCAGGTGCCTGCCATTTGGCATCACAAGCAAAGGGGCTTTGACCAGTAAAGCATTAGAGTAGCAAATGCCATGGAAATAATTGCATAGTTATGTAGAGAATTACCTCCGGCCAAGAGCACCTGCACACAACATCCAGGGGCACAAGTAAAGTTTAGAACAAAACAGCAACACCAGAGGTTCACAGTTTTCTTTTTCCTCGCAAAATAAGACTCCAGGAAGAACAAAAGAGATTTATAGATTAAACCGCCAACTTCTCAGAAAAAGGGCAACATGCCAGTCAATCATGTATTAGATGCATGCCTATACTTATGTGCCTGCAGTCTAGAATCAAATGGGTTACAGCCCAACTTGAACTAGACATCTCTTGACACAGCTAGACTCTTACTGTCACACGCTGAGATGGAAAACTCAATATAATCACTCTCTCTGTGAAATCATCCTATTTTATTTTCACCTGCAAAAGCTCCTTGGCAGATCCTCGCCTGTCCACATCCATCTCAAGACAGCGATTTAAAAAGTCACGGAACACAGCTGACAGTCTCTCAGGATTCTGGAGCTCTGGGGTTCCATTAGTGGCTATCAGATATAATGCCTACAGAAAAGATAAAAAGAAAAAAAAACAGAAAAATCCATTCAGTGCATACAAATTAGGATCATGAGTTGGCACAGAAGGTACAGATCCAATTTCTTCCAGTTTATACCCTGGGTCTTCAAAATTCCATTTTATAGAATGACACTAACATACATTTCAAAGTTTCTATAACATTTAGAAGTCATTCCTCTCGGCAGTAACTGAGGTGAGATTGAGGGGCTCCACCCAGAAAAACTTGGTAATAAAGTCATAAGGTTGTCCTTTGACAGTTAAGTATGGAAAAGTCCATTTATAATGAGTGCATGATTAACCACCTAGGAAATTAAGCCTAGGGATTGTCTGTGAATCTGTGACTCTGAAGACTTGGAGAACATGCATACACCCAATCACACTGACCTGAGTACAACCTCCAGAAGGTGCGCTTACAAAAGTGATTGTAATTTACTAAGTGTTCATCTTGTTTGATGACTATCTGGGAGCAGATCAGGCATGAACAGAATACATTATAGAATTAGAGAAGCACAAAGAACCAGAGGATGGTAGGGCCTGGATAAGAAGTAACCTGTGAGACCCAAGGACTCAAGTACTTTTGTCCTGTGGCAGGTGTATCCCTGAGTAGATTTCCCATGAAGGTCTACCTATGTGGAGAGAAAATATGTGAAAAGTTGACATTGGTAGTCTTGGAATCTGATGATGATTATGTAGCCTTCTGTAAAAGAACCAGTAGCAAATATATCTCTGAGATCTTTGTTCTGTAAGGCCACCACTGAGAGACCTCGACTGGGTCATTGTGTGCTGACAGAATCTAGGGCCTCCAAGGCAAGAGCTGGCCCCAGGTCCCTGGTGAATTCACAAAGGTAAACCCATCTTTTGAAGGCTCATGAGAGGAAAAAAAAAAAGAAGGTGGCCATTCCTCACGCCTCCTCCTCTAAGGGAACAATACAAGTCTAAGAGCATTATGTATCAGGTATTGTATTAGAGACTGGAGACCCAAAGATGAATAAGAGAATGTCCTGCTTTCAAAGATCACACAATTTAGTGAGGGAGTGAGACATAAGTAGCTACAATAGAGTGAGACAAGAGCTAATGGAGGGATAGAGCAGTGTTAAGTAAATACAAGGAGGAAGTAATTTACCCTAGAGCTCAGAGGAAACTTCACAGAGGAGGCTGGTACCTGAACACAGTTTTGAGGTAATAAGTAGGAGTTTTCCCTATGGGTACTGCCACCAGGGTTATCTCTGTCTAGGTGACCAACCCCCTGTTATGAAGACATGTTCCCTCCTGAACTTGCTTGGGCTTTGTAGCAAATTATTACCCCCCACAACTCCTTTCCCCTTGGCCCACCATGGCTCCTACTATAATTATTATAAATATTTCTATCAAAGTCCTTTCCTGGACCAGTTTTCATCAGCTGGTAGGGAAATCTCTCTTGCCTAGAAACTTCCACAGGTGTACTTAAGAGAGGGTTAGACTATATGTTGGCAATAGAACTTCAATAAAAGAGAGTTAGGAAGGGCTGCTTAATCCAGTGGCTGTCAACCTCTCACATGCAACAGATTTCTAGATCACCCCCAGAGTTTCTGAGTTAGTAAATCTGGAAGGGGCCCAAAGAATTTGCATTCAAGCAAGTTCCCTGTTAATGCTGAAGCTGCTGGTTCCAGGGCCACACTTTGAGAACCAGTTTAATCCACCTGGGTAATTAAAGCAATGGACCAAACTAGAGGTTCTCAGACTTGCTTGCACACAGAAATCACCTGGGGAGATTTAAAAGATCCATGTGCACAGTTCTCACCTCCCACCCCAAACCAATTAAGTGAAAATATCTGGGGGTGGAAGGCAGGCATTGGTATTGTTTAAGGTCCCCAGGAGATCCCAATTTACAGCCAATACTGAGAACCACTAGCCAACGACTTGTGGCCCACTTAACCCAGAATCTCTACATTGTCAGTTCACCAGACATGATATACACAGAATCCCAAAGAGTGAAATTCTCTTACGTGGTGATGGTGAGAATTTCAGTGCTACATGTTTCTATAGAGTGCAATGAAACTTTCTGGGTTTTCCCCCAGTACATTAAAAAAAACCCCTACATGTATATTACAACCCCCTTCAAACTAACACCTTCTTTCTCACTACCCCTCACTACTATCTGATTTTCAATTCCGTCATTGCTGAACAGCAGATGCATAGGACAGCTATTGGGACTTCCATGCCAAAATAAAAGTCACTTGCACATCTAGCCTTGACTTAAAAAAAAAAACAAAAAACAAAACAAACAAAAAGCACAAAAAACCCCAACCAGTATGAAAAAGGAATGCGCTTATAAATTGCTTTTTGGAAATCATCAATCAGGCTGAAATCAAATGGTGCACAATCACAGCAGATACATTATATTAAGTTCAAACAGGGTGTTTTAGTTCTTGGATGATTAGAGCTTGAAGCACCTGTCCTTACAAACCGTCTTTGTTCCCTTAAGAAAATTGCTCACTGCGTGCCTTACATTTGCTGCCTCCTAAAACTCTTATTTCCGTTGGCCACAATTCCACCATGCTCACTGTCCTTTGCTTACTTTTTTTCTGCTCTGTAGACAAACCCAGTCCTAAGCACGCGCACACACACACACACACACACACACACACACACACACACACACACACACACACACACCTCTTTGCTCCCTTTCCACGCTCCCTGGATCTGCCTGCATGCTTAGTGCTTTCATTTCCCCAACTTCCTTTCACCATTGTGGCTCAAAACATTCTCCTCCACGTAATCTCATTGCTCATGAGTATGCATAATCCTCCTCACCTCTCTTTAGTTCATGCCTCATTACCTCAGGAAATGCATGCCCCTCTTTCCATTCCATTTAGTAATATACAAACGACCTTCATCATAGCTGTGCAGCCTGAGTAGGGCTGGTGATGCATGGAGGCAAGGGAGCAGAAAGCTCTGTAATCTGAAGGGGAATCAGCGTAAGGAGCCAGTGCCATGAACCTCTACAGCACTTCAGAGAGAATGGATGTCCTCTTCCAAATTTCTACAAAAAGAATAAAACTGGTGTTTGTTGCGGGGTGGGACTGATGTTTGGAGGGGTCAGGGGTCTCGATCGGTAGCCTAACAAGAGGACTTCTGCCTGGTTGATTAGTGCCGATTTGCTTACATGCCCTTACCCCCTATCTAGGTATAACGTACCACTGCCTTGTACTCAACACTAGATCATAAATATTGTTTGATGTTTTACCTAGTTCTTCAGAAATGTCATTTTAAAGGCTGCAGAGTAGTGCATCCTGTGGCATATACCACAGTTAAATCTGCTGGCTCGATTACAAAAATACACAGACTCAGGAAAAGGTTGAAAGGAAACGCACCAGTATGTTAACAGTGGTTCTCTCTGGGTGGCAGGATTACTCGTGACTTCATTTTTCAAGCATATTTTTCGATTTTCCAAATTTTCTACAATGGATAGGACTGCTTTTTTACTTAAAAAAAAAAAACACCTCCAAAACATTACTTAAAAAATAAATGTAAAAAGCTGTGTCTGCCAAACTTACACAGAAATCCTCATGTATGTCTTTTTGTCTTCAGAGGATTAAACCTGCTTTTCATCAAGTACTACCCCTTGAGGGAAACAAAAACCCAGACGATTTTTTTTTCCAGCCATTGTTTTCGTTTTAATTGCAACAGTATTATTTCCAACTAATTTCCATTGCAAAATATCCACACTTTCAGTTATATTAGGGGCTAAACTGGCCTTTGTGGAAGTGGCCTGGGAACCTAATCACCACACATAATGTAGCTTCTATGGGAAAATGCACTCCGAGTTCCAAATGATTAACTTAAAAATGAACTTGTGGAACACGTCCTGTGTGTAAGCTGGGAACTATCTTTGTAAAAAGAAAATTGCTACCCACTGCCCTGCTAATGGGAGACAAATACAGTTGCAGCCTGTACAACAATCACGGCAGAAAGTGTTTTACTAAAAAAGTCAAGTCTTGCATGAAGAAAGATCAAGGAAAATAGATCTAGGCGTGAAGGATCACATTTTGGTTTTATTTGAGTTAGGGAAAACTGAAAGGAAATGAGCTGGCGGTTAGATCAGAGCTTTTTGTTGGCTCCCCTGTAATCCACGCATGTGGTTTGCAAATTGGACTCCCTCTACAATCCCCTCAAGGGCAGCTGAGAAGGAAAAGCAGCAGGACTGGGAGATACACGTAGACTCTGAGAGCCTGTGCCCACACCTATCTGTTTCAATTAGAGACATGTTTCTTTTTTCTCTATTTCTCCATGCTTCCAAGCAAGGTTTCATTTGAACCCGGGGCTCGCTGCAGTCGTCTGAAAACCAGTGGGCCACAGGGCACAGTGATGATCCCTGGGCATGGCATGTACAGTCCTCCATGATTGGGGGACTTTGTAGTCCTCACTGGGTGCCCCTCTTCCCCTGCCCCCATGTACCTACACAACGGCTGAAACTCACAAACTGCTCAAGCCAATTTCACTCTAGTGTTAAATCTGCCTACAACGCTGGCCCCACTTCCCTTAAGTGCCTGGTGGACTCCTGCTTGCCTTTTAAGCTCTAGTTTACATGGCATTTCCTCTTTAAGGCCTTCTCCATCTCTCCAGACAGGGTGACCAATGGCCTTGGTTTTCTGGGGACTGTTCTAGCTTTTAGTATGGAAGCCAAGCAAACCAGGACAGTGGGTTACCCTGCTTGGGAGAGTTAGCCAATGCCTCCTTTGAGCCACCGTGGCTGTTTGTTCAGACATCTATTTTCACATTGTATTGGGAACACCTGTTGCCTGTTTCTAGGCCTGCCTTCCTGGACTGTGAAGGGAGGATTGTGTCATGGGCATCTCTGGGTTTTACGGCCACTGGCCCCACACGGGTCCCCAGTAAACATGTTTGTTACTGAATGAGATGAGAGCCTAAATGTGTGAATCAATTTAACTGAGCTGGGAATATCACAGACTTGGATACACAGAGTAGTAAATCTCAGAGCCTAA